AGAGAGAGAGAGAGAGAGAGAGAGAAATTAAACCACCAGTCCACCAGACATAAGTCCTAGGTTAAACCCTGACCCATTTTGAAGTTAGTGACACAACCCCTATCAAATTCAGTAGGGCTATAATTTCATCTTCTGTCTTGAGAAGCTGAAGGTGCCAGTCATGTTTTGTGGATATGTAAGTTTTCATGCACATGTACATTAAAAAAAATTAAAGAATAGCTGGACTCCAAGTCTACAGAAGCCGGTACTTTAGAAATTATACATACTTATTTTCACATGTATTTGTCTGTGTAAAAGTGCAGAAAAATCAAAATCTTAGTTTGCCTTTGATTTCTTGAATTGACACTTTAGGCTTGTGTGATAGCCCCTGTCCATTCTGGATGTTGGCAAACCTCTTGAGTCTTTCATTTGGCAGCAAATTCAATTTTCACTGATGCATTGGTGGGCAACTGGGCACAAAAAAGTATGAATCACAAGATGCAAGTCACATAGTGATCAGTAGTTCTGCTTCCTGCACCAGGAAGCAGCAGGCACTTGGGCTCCTTTTATACTACAAAGTTCTGCCAGCAGAGCTAGATTACACCCTGGAAATAATGCAGCTTTGCTGGCAAACTTGCTGATATGAATGCAGCTCAGCAAGTAGTAAATGCCTTCTGACAACAGAGCTGCTTGCATCTGGGGAAGGTGGCATAGCCCTGGAGGCTGAAAGACTTCTGGCAGCACCATGGCTGGATCCAGGATCAAGCAGAGGGAAGTGCAGCTATGTCTCTTTCTGTTGTGTGGCTCAGTTGAGCCAGAGCCTATGACAATCGGCTGTTGTGTACAACAATCATCTGTGTATGCTGTGAACTCAGAGCTTGCAGCGCACACAGAGCTTTGGCAAGAGCTGCACTGATATGCCAGTGAGATCAGACAACTCACTGCACGTGTGCCACACCGCTGATGGGGGTGTGACCACGCTGCCACACCTCCCCTGGATCTGCCCTGGGCAGAACTGAATATACACCAAAGGGCCTGGCCGTCCTACCATTTTCTCTGTGGCTAAAGCCCCCTCATGTAAACTTGTGTGAACAAGTATCAGTACTCTAACTCCAAACTAGGCCAGTGGGTTTGCAGTACGAGTTGGCCTTGAGAAAGCCAGACTTATTTGTACCCAATCTGGCAAGAACGTTAGGACCTGTGAAAACATGAGAAAAAACCCCCCAGACATCTGAAAGCATTAGCGTTAATTTATTAACAATTCCTTGCCCTTTAATTAGAACGCTATTAAAACTCACTTGTTTAACCCCTAGAAATTCTGGGCGCTTTGATGTCAATGATGATCATTTGGATGGTGACTGGCGTGATGACATATTTGGCTAGCCTCAGGCTCCTTCATCCAAATTATGAGATTGAAGCCACAGTGATGCTCATTACTTCGGGCTGTGCAGTGATAGCTAATATCATGTAAGTTTTCTAAAATCCTCAATCTTTTGGGGATTTCCTGACATGGGGAATATGTATTTTTACACATACCCAGATGGATAGTTAGATTTTGCTCTACAGAGTGTGTCAGGGTGTTGTTTTCTGATGGAAAGATATCACTGACATTTGCAGCACTCCATCTTTTTCAGAATAAGTTTGACTCTACACCAGACTGGCCATGGACATAGTCATGGAGCACAAGCCAATGAACGTATGTCAGCTCCACAACAGAAGCCGGTTTTGGCCAATGCCAGTGTGAGGGCAGCTTTTGTTCATGCCATTGGGGACATATTTCAGAGCATTAGTGTGCTAATTAGTGCACTTATAATATTCTTTAAGGTCAGTTTTATTAGTTTACTCACCTTCATAGCAATTAAGAATAAAGTTATTTCCATAACTGTCATTAAATACTAAGTAAATGTTTTTCTCTCTCAGTGATATATATTGTATATTAGTCAATGGCAATTATGTTCATTTCAAGGAATAAGATGGCTGTTGAGAGCAGAACAGTTTTTCCTCAGCATTTAAGCCATAAGGAAGATACAGTTGTTTTTCTCTCTTTTTCATTCTTAGTGATTTGAGGCCTTCAAAAGCTGCCAAAGAATATCTGTAACAGTTTCTGTGTCGTGTATGGATTATAGTGCTCTGGGATTAGCTAATTAAACAAGCCAGCCAGCAACTGAAAATGATGGATTTAATTTAGTACCATGTTTATCTTTTTTTTTTTTTAGCCAGAATACAAAATAGCTGACCCCATCTGCACATTTGTCTTCTCCTTCTTTGTTTTGGCAACAACCATCACCATTTTAAGGGATATTTTGCTCATTTTAATGGAAGGTAGGAACTGCATGTTCTGTTTTTTTCCAGAATCAGTACTATTATGGTCTTTTACGTCTCCCTCCATTGTACTTGAAATCACCAGCCAAGATCATAAAAAATGGATACCTAAGGTTTGGTTCATAAGTCCATGTCCTGATTTTTAGAAGTGCTTTGCATCTTTAGGTGTTGAATATGGATTTAGGAGATTCATTTTAGGCTTGCTTGAAAAAAACCAAACCTTCAGCATTCCTTAGAGAACAAATAGGCATGTCATCCCTGTTTCATAGAAATCCTCACATAAATCATTATAATTTAGAGCTTGATTTTCAAAAACACCTGGCAAACAATTTCATTTATCCATCATGAATACAGGCAAGTTACTACATTTGTGTGTATAAATTAGATACTGACATGGATATCTAATTGGCTATCTGAGGGCACAAATAATCAGCCTCCACATGCATTTATGACAACTCTGCATGCAAATTAGTTGAGCAGTTGAATGTCTGTTTGAAAATCAGATCATTTCTGCATTACAGATTGTCTTGGACGATCCAACTATTTGGACTTCCAACTATTTTAAAATAACATATACAAAATTTAGAATAGATGAGAGTGGACAGAAATACACATCAGATCTCTGAACATATTTTGAAGATAATCTGGCAAGGTCTTTTCTCTGTGACCTCATTCAGTTTCCAGTTTTGCTACTCTGTATGTGAAGATAAATCTGCAATTGAAGATATGTACATAAACAGGAAGTCAGAATTTAACTTGTAGGGTGTGTTAAGTGCAAGGGTACATGTTTCCTGTGGCACAAATAACAGTGGCACATATTTGTGCTGCTGCTTTTTGGCTCAGGGCACACCCTTGCACGTGTGTCCGGTGCAAGGCAAATTGACCTGGGTGGTGTTGGGGCCAGTACCTGGGCTGGCTCCAGCAACCTTACCTGGGGTCTGGGGGCCTCCCAGGGAAGCAGCATCGCTGATCAGGCCACATGGAGCCTGGCTGGCAACCAGACTGCAGTTCTGGCCAGCTAGGCTCTGTTTCTGGAGGTGTATGCTGCTGCCACATGAGCTTCATTGCCTTTTTTAGCAGCATTTTTATTTGACACTGGGATCTCCTGGTGCTAAATTTTGGCAGCACACTGCTAATTAGTGCACATGGGCATGTGTGCCGCATGCAGTTTGTAGCACCTCAAACAGCTTTCAGGCACCGCAAACCACACATGCGCACTTAGCTGAACACACCTGTAGATTTGAGCACTAGTATTTTCATAGTATAATTATCTTAATGTATTGTAAGGAAAAACCGTACTAGAGATACTTCTTTGGTCAAATAATATCCATGATGGCGAGAGGCTATAAACAAACTGTTATGATGGTACCCTATGACTTTGGCTATTATGGGAAACTGACTGACCAGTTGTACATTATACACTGTGCCAACATTAGAAGCTATGGCCAGAAACACAGAAATGGTTTAACACTTCACCTGATATTGCACCACAGCCCTGCAGCATGTCTTTCATTCTTCTGAGATCCAAACTCCTTTGCTTGTTGCTGCCTTAAATCACAGGTAGGCCTTGCCCTTTAACAGCAACATAATACCCACACCTAGCTAAACAAGACTCTTTGTCTAGAAGGAACAGTGCATTTTGAGGTCATTTATCAGTATTTTTTATAATTTTAAGCATGTTCTCACCATAATTATACTAGTGGGATTCCTTTTTATGAAATCTTGATGGAATTATATCCATTCATTATGAGAATCTTTGTGTTGGTGGTTCAATAATGGAACTGCAATGCATTCCTACAACTGGTGTTTTCCTCCCCAAGTGCATACCATTACTTCTCAAATCCATTTGGCATTTGTGAATTCTGCTTGCTAAGTTCATTGTATGCATCCTGAATACAACAGCTAATGTAAAAAAAATACCCCAGCAAACTAAAAAAAAAAAAAAGATTGTACTATAAGTTTGACCTTCTGTGGAATGGGCAATTTGCAAGCAGCAGAAATATGAAATACTGCTAAGACTTCTAGTTACATTGATCTGAAGAGGCAAGCACCGGTATTTTTCAGATGAGGTTAGAGTTCAAGGTGAAATGGACAATTCCCAGCACATTTTCATCAAGGCTGTAAGACTGACTAGATTTAGCAATATTTAATGTTGTCAGCTATGAGCCTGAAAATTTGATTTGCCAAGGCTGAATGGTTCTAGCAGTCACGGATGCATGTTTCAGCCTTCCTGGGGCTGAACAGTATGATGCAGCTGTTGTCTCAGCTACAAAAGACATAGGCCCTAAAGGGAAGGCGAGCTAGAATTATGTAGATTTTGGATTGTTATGGTTTAGCTGGTCTGACTGTCTGCATAGCTAATAGCTTATTATGTCTTTATTCTCTTTTTTCCTTTGTGTCTATTTCTGCTTCATTAAGAAAAATTCCAGTGTTACCATGATATAAGTTTTACATGCTCTGGCCTTAGTTATTAGGGCATAGAAAGTTAGAAATTATCTTAATTAACTGCCTAGCTGGAGTACAATGAGCAGATTATACCGTTTACTTTGGCTATAAACAAAGTAGACAAAGCCTTATTGGCTGATTACATCAAGAGCTTGATCCTGTAAAAGACTTGGGCATGTCCAAATTAGGTCCTAAAACACCTGTTAGATTGCTGTGTTACTGGTATTATTATATGTGGAGAAAGGTGCTTCAGGGTAGGACCCCAAAACGTCAGTTGCAGAGCATGAAGATGACCAGAGCTAACCAATAAGAAATGCAGAGAAGAGTGTATGGAGCTAAGGCATTTAACTCAGAGCTGCAGGCAGGCATCTCCACTTATATGAATCTGAGGCTTAGAATTCTCTCTGAGAGTAGACACTGATATCCATTCTTCAAGGTTAGGGACATAAATTACACATAAACCAGTATAAGTGATTGGAAACTGGTTCAGATCTGTAACACAACAGGGCTAGGGATAGACGTTACACATAACTGGTATAAGAGACCAGAAACTGGTTCAAAACTGTAACACAATAGAAGTTCAATGCACATAAACTGCTTTCAAAATGGCCAAAACTGGTCTAAGATAAACCCAGTTGGATGTAGTAACAGACTTAACTGATTTACGTTAAATTGGTTTATTGGACCTCTGTCCCAGATCCCTTCCAGATTCAAGTTACCATATAGTCCCCCAGCATCCGAGGATGCTTTGCACCTCCCCTGCAAACCCTCCTTTGCAGAGTGATCAAGCTAGCTTGGCCCAAGCTGTCTGCTCCAGGCAAGCAGGGAAGCATGCTCTACTGTCCCCTGGCTTCTGGCCTGAGACACTGCAGGCATCTGGCTGCATTTCTGGAATCAAAAGTGAATGTCTGTTCACTTGCTTATTGGTTCAATCTACACAGTTTAGTCTAATCTGCAAAGATTGAACCCATTCAGCCTCAGGTTTTTTGACTGCCTGTACTTAGCCCAGAAGTTCAGTCCACCTGAAATGCTTTCAAAATGGCTGAAACTGGTTTAAAATAAACTTGGTTGTATGTAGTATAAGACCTAACTGATTTAGGCTAAATTGGTTTATTGAACTTCTGTCCCAGATGCCCTCCAGATTCAAGTTAAATCACAGTTCCCCAGCATCCCAGGATGCTTTGGACCTCTCCTCCCAACCTCCTCCCCCCCACTCAAAGAGTGGGCAAACTAGCTTTGGCCCAAGCTATCTCCTCCAGCTGAGCAGGGAGGTACACTCTAGTGCCTGCCAGCTTCTGGCCTGAGACACTGCAGGCACATAGCTGCATTTCCAGAATCAAAAATGAATTCCTGTTCACTTGCTTATCAATTCAATCTACACAGCCTAGACTAACCTGCAAAGAGTGAATCAATTCAGCCTCAAGTTTTTGAACTATCTGTACTTAGCCTAAAAGAAATGATCAGAGGACACCCTTTTCTTTTAAAAGGTGGCAGTGCCCACATATTTGCTAGTAGCCTCCAGGTTAGAGCACTTGTCCAGGAAGATACTTGGGATTAATGTCCCGCTAATCCTGAGAGAGTTCAGACCGCTACAGAACAGAGTCAGGCTTCCTTTTGTGTTTTCTTTCTGGCCTATTAATTTTGCCTTTGCTTTACAGTGGTAATCTTTTAACAGGAAGTCCATTACCTGATGGTTAAAACATTTTCTTGGAAGGTATGGATTTGAACTCCGGGTGAGAATTATAGGGCATCAGAGAGAAGTAGGACTGGAAGGAACCTCCATAGATCATCTAGTCCACCCCCTTGAAGATGGCCTAAAATCCTGTTCCCTCATTTCCTGGGCTAATTTGCTAACCTTGAGGCCATTGTAGAATAATTGTGTGATGACAACACCACAGATATTGTAAAAGAAAATGGCCACACATGCAATTTTGTCCAGTCCTGTTGATATGTGTAAGGATGTTTTGAGAATGTAAATTCCCATCAAGAGACTTAGGCATTGGTTCAATGTGTAGTGGCAGTCAAAAAGTCCAAAATGTTAGGTCAAAATGTTATGAATCATTAGGAAAATAACTGAAACATGAAATCACACACACAGACACACACATATAATGAATTTGTATATTATGAATAATATAAATTCATGGAGCACCCATATTTGAATATTGGGTAAAGTTCTGGCTGCCCCATCTCAATCTCAAAAAGGATATACTGGAACTACAAAAGGGACAGAGAAAAGCAACAAAAATATCAGTGGCATGGAATAGCTTCCATCTAGAGAGGGACTGGAAAAACTAGAAATTTCTTCAACTTGGAAATAAAACTGCTGAAATGGGATATGGTAGCAGTCTTATAAAACCATGAATGGAGTGGAAAAGTGAAAAGGGAACTGTTATTTATTATGCCTCATAATTTCATTGGGAGTCCTCTAGTTCTTGCATCATCAGGCAACAGGTTGCAGACAAACAATAGAAAGTCCTGTTTTTACACAACTGTCACAGTAGACTCAGGTGCCCTGCGCCTGAGAGTGGAGGCTGCTCTGGGGAGACCCCTAG